GATACTAAGTCTGCCAACGCCGCAGAAAATCAAACAATGCTACTGGAAGCGTTTGATATCCTCAAGTCCAGTGTAACCACACCAACAAACCCTTATTTTACTTATGGCACCTTAACACAAGTGAAGCATGCAATTAATAATGTTATTTTCGATTGTGGATCTGGTCGCTCGCAGCTGGTTACATTACGACTATGGACATGGCGTCCATGTTAAGAAGTAGTTACAGTAATGCAACAGATCGCTAGAGTTTGTTTTAAGTGCAATGTCAGAGGACATTATGCAAAAGATTGTCGGAGGGCAGTAGGGAAATTAAATAAGACAAACAACTACCAGGAGAAATCGGGAAATGGGTGTCGTCCGACAGACAGTTCCGTTCAATAAACTACAGGGTGGCGCACGGAATGTCATACCATTTAATTATCGCATTAAAACTATAATATTGTAGTATCGATGTACGAACTGTTGTGCCTGCACCCCTTCTCACCCTTACTTTGACCCCATGTTTTTTTAAACTGGTTAATTTTAATTGTAGTTGCCCCACATCTGGTGTGAAGCGTGGGGTAGCCATCGGAATTTTAATGGCGATGCAGTGGTAAGGTTCACTCCACAGCTGCGTGCTGCGTTAGCTTTAAAAAAAAAGGGTCTCCATGAAAACTAAACAACGCACGCACGTGCCTCCCATATATGGACATGGCGTGTGGGACAGTCTTCCATATATGGACATGGAGTAATTTTGGCCAATCAGAGGCAATAATTTCAGGGCGGTTCCTAGGGCGCACATCATCATAAGCGTCCCTAAAATTTCTGTATAAGCGCGAGATTATCGCGCGTCGGGTCTCTTGTGTGGTGCAACAACTGAAGGAGGAATCTATGTCGCTGGTGGCCAAAAATGAGGAAACTGCGGTGATTTGCAGCTGGGGTGAGTGAAACCTATTATTGTCCGTTGGTTGGTGACGTGCGCTGGTTGGTCCTGGTTCGGACGTTGTATTTTAATTATTAGGAAATTATATTAGTAGATTAGTGATGGGAGTTTCATTATTGGGTCAGAAGTACGACTCCCCCACCCAGTGAAGCCCGTCCTATCAGTCCTGCCGAGAGGGTTGACCGGTGGCATAACATTGTTCTTTATATGTAATAGAAAGGTATAGTTCGATAGATGAAATTTTGAATTTTTGTTTTGTTTTGTTTATTAGATGAAAGTGTTGTTTTGAAGAAATTTTGTTTAATTTCAATATACTATACACGATTGACGTTTTCACGAAAATAACTGCGGCAGTGTCCGACACTGCCTATCAATTTTTTTTTATTCAATAAATGAAGCCGCAGAGATGGGTAGATTAAGCGCCAAAGATAAAGTGAGACTCGCTAGGTTGAAGCTGCGAGGCATAGCGAAATCGTTTTATTCGGTTCAGGCTCACCTGAAGACAGAGGACATTACGTATGAGGAATTTCAAGCAGCTTTCGTGAATAGATTTAAGGCTAAGCAGACCGATCAATATAATTATACTAGATTACGGAATGCTTCCCAAGGTAGAGATGAGAGTCCCGAAATATACTTGGATCGGTTGCGGAAATTATGCCAGAAAACAATACAGATTACTGACAACCCAGTGGAGCAGGTTGTGATTAACAGGGAAGCTGAACGTAGACTTTTAGCAGCTTTTATAAGTGGACTGGCTGGAACGCCGGGAAGGCAAGTAAGACTACAGATGCCTGATACAGTTGATGGGGCCTTGAATATGGCCATCGTAGCAACAAACGCAAATCAAGCGGAGAGAACCGCGCTACGCGAAGATCGGGGACCAAATAAGAGGGTGTTCGCGGTAGGAGGCAGCCGTGGGTATGCACCTGGTAGGAATCAAGGGGGTCCCCTGGGAAAAATCCAATGGAGCGGTAACCGAGGTGGCCGGAGCCCA